CATATATACATATATATATATACATATATATATATATATATATACATAGAAATATATATATTTATATATATATATATAAATATATAAAGATATAAATATATACGTATACATATAATATTGATTATATATATATATAATACATAAATACACATACATACATACATACATACACACACACACACAAACATATATATATATATATATATTACATATATACCACATACATACATACATACATACATATACATATATATATATATATATATACACACACGACACACACACACACACACACACACACACACACACACACACATATATATATATATATATATATATATATATATACACACACACACAGCCACAGATACAGACACAGACACAGACACCGACACCGACACAGATATATATACAAACACACACACACATATATATATATCTTTGCATGATGTACTTCAAGCTGGTTCCAAGTATTTGTAAAGTTTAATTTCTCGAAAGTGATGAAAAACCATGCCCGACGAGTATCATACAAGTTGCAAGTACCAACATACATCTGTGAGAACTGAGGATGGTGTCCGTGGAAGGCATAGCGAAGAGAAAACGTTCATTTCCATGTCAAAGTGTGATTTCGATTGGGTGTATATCGCTCCCTGAGCTAGTCCCAAAGACCCACTAAATCCTTTGTTCAGATACTTGAATTTGCGTATCGCGTCAATCCACTTACGAGTAGCCATTTTGAGGTACTTCTTTAATTTATATTGATGCTTATGGTACAAATGGACACAAAACCCCTTTCACTACTTCTTCTTCGTATTGCCACAAAACTGAAGTAGTAAATAAATGCACAAAACGATAAGAACATTTGTATAAATAGCACTCTGGATTATTAAGGGCTGCGCTAAATTTACGATTCCCGCTACCAGCTTGATTTTCGTTCGAGACTCTCGGCTCTCCACTGTTTCCAGGCTCCAGAGTCCAGACTCTAGAGGGCCATGATTTGTTTACTTCTTTCATTTCACGTTTTATAAAAAGCCACTAGCAGTAGTGGGAGTGTGTGTGGACTGTGAACTGTGAACAATTGAACATTACTCCCTCTCGTAGAGTCCAACTCGGTATTTGTTGACATACATAGTTCATATATTTATGGGTGTTTATTTGCCTTAATAATATTTATATTCAGGTGAGTTGCCCTAAAACCCTAAAACCCCTAAGCCTCTTAAAGAACAGGAGGATATGGCTATATACATATGTATATATATATTTAAATATTATTTGAAACCTCGGTTTTTTCTTCTAAAACATTTGTCCACCTCTAATAAGTGTTCGGTCCCCTTTTGCATTTTAAGGGACCTAGAACTCTCTAGAGAGGTCCCATGTGTGGGTCTGTGGGACAAGTCCGTTTAGATTGTGATAAATACAGAAAGGATGGCAATTCAGCTCTATGTTGCTTTTACTGTTCAGGTTATGCTTTTACCTGCATATTTTTTTAACCAGACTTGGGATCAAACGTCTTCAATTAGCCCAGTAGCGCATTGCTGGAAGATATTTACATGTCTACCGGAAGGTTCGTCGATTAACCACGCAGCCCATTACTCGAAGACACTCGAGGATGATGTGAAACGATACATCGACAGTATTGTGAGTATATAGTGCTATAGCTGATCCAGACTATCATCCAAGCGAAAGTGAAACAGTGAACGAATTACAATGGTGGATAGACGAATCTGCAAATTTGCAGATTATTAATATAGATGCCGTATTGACTATGGGGGAAGCCGTCAATAGTGAGACTACGAGTATGTTCAGTGTGGGATGTGCTTTGTTGACTTCCAGTGTTTTTTTAATACCAAAAAATTGTCTTCCCAGAGACTATGAATGCTAGATTATTGGATACTTAATCCGCTGCAACTTGGGATTAATACTCGACATCGGATGTAAACGATGAAGTAATATCACGCCCAACAAGCACGAACAAATCAAACGCTACAAAAATTCAACGCAATAAAGTTATATACAGCTATAATACATAGCTTCATATCAATGTGTCCAATGGGGCCAAGAGTGTCTACCTCTATAAGTGTCCAGTTTTTGTCCAAAAATACTATGGACATATAAAGAGGTTTGAATGTACAGTATGTACATATATCATAGTCATAGCGACATAGCCTGCTAAAATAAAGAAAAACAGAAGGCTACGCAATACACACACACATATATATATAAATATATATATAGAAATATCTTGAGTTAAATAGCTATATAGACATATCTTGAATTATATAGCCTCTATTTAATTGTAGTATGTATTCAAAATAAGAATTTGCACCTTCATATAAAATAAAACCATGATCTAAAATGGAAAGTAAAGTATGCGGAGAACGGACGAGTCTGTACGATTTAAAACCTTCAACACGACACTCTCCACTAGCCTTTGATCATTTAACACTTGCGTCGCTCGCCAAAAGTATGTAGACTATATATAATGTACGAGAACTAACGTCAAGATAATTTTGCGACACATTACAAGAATTAAGTGACGCTATTTGAGCTTTAGAAGAATGGAAAAGTACAAGAATCTTTATAACACCTATAAAAAAAGGTATACTATTATGTGTACTTAGTAGGAATATGTACAATTTTCAATTTTTGCGTTTGTTTGCACCGGTATATCATTTTAGGGTCAAGAGTGTCGTACGTGAATAAACATACAACGTAGGCATCGGACCCTCACGACACGTTTTAACTAATATTTTTTTGCTTCGCGCGAAGTACCACTTCTTTCAGTCTGAAAGGAAATTGCACCTGTTCCTTTTAAACCACTGGAAGGCAACACTCACATACTGATACTCTCGGGTGGTCCGCACTCTCCAGTTTCTTACGTGGTACCATTGTGGTTCTTACCGCCACCGACTGAATAACACTCTGGCATTGCAGCACGTGATATAAGCGCTATCCTATCCAAGGAACTTGTTGACCACATCTCCGAATGATCAATCAGAACGAACGAATCTCATTCATACAGCAGAGAATATTCCTATAGATCTCCGTAAAATGAAGGAAACTTGTAAGTGTACGCAAAAGAATAGTCTTCACCACTCGATCTTGCGACATATACCCTTCCACATTAACCAATGAACTCTAAAGGTGCTTATTAGGGACAAAAGCGAGTCAAAATGACAACGACGCTGGTAGAGTACTATGTAGTATGTCCCCCGAGCGGATACTATTATCGAACCAAGTATTCCGTTGGCACTCTAGCTGACGTGATGCGACGATTCGGCAACTGCTGGTAGCCCAGCACTACTTTCCTGACTGAAATTCTCCGTCGTATCTTCCGCATTGATGATAGTCATTGCGGCGCTGCTTGATTCCTTCTTTTGGTTCTCCATGGTGCTCATGAAACCACTGGTGGGTACCACACACTCTGCTGACGCTTGCGATCGATGATCAGAGCGGTCGCGATCCATGTCAGTCGTGTGACGTGCATATGTCAAGCCCGCATCCATAGTCTTGTCATACGAATGCACAAAATTGACACTGGTGTATTTTCTGAGCAAGTAAGGCTGGAATATGGAGATGGCAGCGAGAAGTAAAAAGAATCTTGAAGCCGCCCACGATACAGATGAAATCTGCGCACACGTCAAAAAGAAGTTGTTAAAACTATCTGTGACTTCTCCAATGGCCGCCAAAAATAAGAAGAAATAGCAGATGAGATATATCAAGTAATACATGATATACATGACAAACTGACGTAGCGATATGTTGATCAGATCTGCCGTGACACGCGACAGCCGTTCCTTTGCAACGATTTTTAGAAGCTTGGTGTAGAAGCTTATAAATACGCACACGGAGAGCAACGAGAACAGCCAGTTGATGATGTGGTTCCAGAAGACGGTTTGACCTTCGCCGTATTCGTTCTGTAAAAATAAATAGAAATTGGTCGATTAGACGTCCTTCCGATGCCACAGACTCGTATATTCGCTTCAGACACAAAGTGAACGCAGTCTACCTCTAAAAATTCGGAGAAGCATGACGAAACAACTCAATAAGCTTAAAAGAGATTTGAATGCATACCTGAACGGGTACCATGGCGATTGAAATACAGAAGTGAACAACATTGATGAAAAACCAGTATATCTCGAATTTGTTATCTTTCAATTGCAAGATATCACTCAAGGAACGGAGTGTCAAGTTGACCGTGGCAAAACAGTACTCCAACGCAGCCAGACCAACACTCTGAAGGTATTGCTTATGTCTCAAATAAACTGTTCCATCGCCTTGAGTTCCCAACACACCGTAAGCCAATATGCATGAGTAGCCTACAAGAGCGAAGGCAAAAAAAGTCCAACCAAATCTGGGAGGACACGAATAGTTCGGTTAGATATTGATGTATTGTTGTATACTAGGGACTAAAGTCTTCACAACGATCACTGAGAACACGAAGGTCGCACTCAGCACATACGAAACGAATGAGTGTGAACAAAGCCAGAACGCGTACACTGACTCGTAACTGTGCAGCAAACTTCCGGGAAACGAGAGACCTAAAAACTTCATTCTAAATATTCCACCAATAAATACATCGAGTGTTCAAATGCGAAATAAACACTCGATAAAAATCAAAAACGGTATCCTCTATGAAACTAAAGGCTCCCGTGCTTTCATACAAGTTAATTTGAAGTATCCGAAAGCAGCAAAACCTCTATATATTTGATTCGTTTGCAAAACAACAAGCAGCCACAAACAGAAATCAACCCGTAGAAGGACAAAGATGCGCGTGTATATAGAGTTGTACTACTTATCAAAAGAAAGCAAGCAAAAAGCTAACAGATAACAGCATCGGAATCTACAGTAATAGCTCGAGCACATTGAACCATGTACAGGTACTGCAAAGGTTGACATAGTAAAGCAACAAGCTAGAAAATTTTAGTGACACCAACTACAAAATACGGAGCGTGCAACGCTGAGTATAATAAAATTGCCAACAGTATACTCAAAACATAGCGAACAAGTGAATATTAATTCTCAAATTAGCAAAATTAGCACAATTCTGCTCGGCTTTCCCTCGCACTACTACGTGGTCACACAATTAACAATCCACATGGTACAGGCGCAGCACTGCAGCAGCAGTAACCACAACCACCAACACTGCACATACCGATCCACACACATAATTTAGCGAGATAAGAAAAAAAATTAGCATAACAATAACTATGCAATGATCAGCAGAACAGAAGCTTATGGCAAAAGCAATGAATCTGAAATTGCGACTATTATACACGAGGCACTCATAAATTACACACCTCTTCAGCTTTCCCGTCTCGAGCTTGTACATTGAGAGCAGCAACAGAATGATAGCCAACGACGCAAAAAACATCTCGGAAGCTCCAGTATAGTACCAGACTACGAAGATGTCTAGAGAATTCTTCAACTCGTAAACACCCGAGACTGACCCTGGGCCGTCGCTTGGTAGTTTTGTATATCCAAGTGAATATACCATGGTTGCGAACCAAATTAAACTGAAGCGTGGTGCTGAATGACGTTCGAGTACGTACTGTACGAATCTTTCTAGTACTAGCCGAGCCGTACTATATTCAGTTCACAATAGTGGATGTATACCGCCACATGTAAAGCTGATAGCTCACTGTAGCTTTCACTCAACGTGCGACTGTGTGGTGTATGGAGTATGAACAGCTTTTAAAAAATGCTTACCATTGATATGTATTTAAAAAAAAAGACGAATTATCTCTAGCCGCCGAGTCGCTGTCGGCCTGGTACCGAGTCTGCCGATTGCTGACTGTTTGGCGCGTGAAAGAGATTCCGGGCGTTTATTTTAAAAAACAAAAATATTATTGTATATATGTACAATTGTACATACAGTATGTGTATTCATGATATATATATTTTTAACGGGTTTTTTTAACAAATCGCAGAAATATCATACATTTTACCAACTGTTTTGTTTCTAAAAACAAATAGTTAAACAAAACAACAATGAACTGCTTTTGTTTTAGAATTCTATTTGTTTCAACAAAAACAAATCAAAATCAAGATATCATGACCAGCCTCGAGAGTCTCAGAGTAGCAAAGTACTGGGCAGCCCCAGTCGATTTAACTCTCTATCAACTTCGAGAGTGTGTAATTGTGTAATTACAGTATACAAAAATATTTTGGCCCCACAGTCACAGCCCACAGGGCACAGACAACAGCTATTTACAGGCACAGGGGACAGGCCACAGGGTGCAGGGCCACAGGGGCCCACAGCCGCAGGCTCTCTCGCTCACTCTATTTTAGAATAGAGAGAGTGAACCCCACACACCCACACGGCCCAGCCCTAGTCATAAGTACAATCACAGTCACAGTCACAGTCACAGTCACAGTCACAGTCACAGTCACAGTCACAGTCACAGTCACAGTCACAGTCACAGTCACAGTCACAGTCACAGTCACAGTCACAGAACTCACAGACCTGAGACTTCCAGGCAAACCTCATACGTTTATCCAATATAGTCCTATGGGTTTACAAATAGATACTTTTTTTGAGGCGGCCTAACTGTCACAGTGTCACGAATTGTCCTATTTTTCACCTTGTGTTAGTTGTGAATAGTTTCAAATCGCCTTTTCATTAAAAAAGGTCAATTTCTCAGGTGCAATTTTGGGGGGGAAATCGTGGTCGATTTGCCCCCGATATACTTTAAAACGCCAGAGTAAGCCCATAGGGCACAGCCAGAGGGCACAGCCAGAGGGCACAGGCCCACAGCCCACAGGCCCGACAGGCCAGAGGTTCAGACTCAGAGTGTGAAGTGAGTGTGGCTTTTAGGGGTCACTGGCCACATCGGTTTCAGTGCTCTCACTCAGTCACACTACAGACTGAGTACAGACTAGAGAGAGTGACTACAAACTTACCGTTTCACAATCTATTTATTTAATTTAAGAAAAAGAGAAAAACGTATGAACCATCACCAAGTTCACTTTTTTGTTCTGGCCCCTCGCCCCACAGGCCACAGGCCACAGGCCGACAGTGGCACAGCCTTACAGTCTCAGCCCTCAGGGCTCAGGCCACACCGCCACTTTCTTAAAATAAAAATAACAAACATACTTGTAAATATTACATTGATATAAAATTTATTTAAAAAAAACAAAAAACAAAGTTTAAGAATATTGCATCTTGTGCTTGTGTTTGTGACTTTGTGACTTTGCAGTTTGTAGTGACTTTGTAGTTTGTAAATATTTTTAAAATTTGTACTTTGTATCGCACAGTCGCACACGTATTGGTTTTAATCTCGCTCCTTTTAATGCCAGATAACGCAAGAAACCACAAAAACTACTCATAATACTCATTATATAGCCAAAAAACAGATTTTGCATACCAATACAACTTTATAGAGTCATCTACAGAGAGTAATGTAATTAAATAGAGTTAGGAGTAAACATTTATGACAATTGTTTTTCAAAAACAAAATAACATAAAGTATAGTCTTCTGTATAATTTTGAAGGCTATGATAAAATATATATATATATATATATTCATCGGCGTGCTACATATTTACTGATATCCTGGTAAAACGCAGCACATTTCTCTATGACGAGTTGACGATGTGTCGAGAGTTCAAGACCGTTGGAATCTAGATTGATACCCCGACATATCCATACGACATGTATTTTATTACAGCCGGTAGACCAATACACCAACAAACCTAAGAAGACATATCGCGTGTTCGCGACAGGTCAGAAACTAGCTTGTTTTTAAAGGAAGACAAATAGTTGTCGTTTACCACGCTATGTATTTGGCCCTATTTTAGCCTCCTCTATAAAAGTCTAAACTCTATATTATCCTACATGTAGTGGAGTCTGGTGAATGCAGTCTCAGCACTGTTAGCACTAACTTAGCAGTGTAGACTATTTAGTGTAGAGTTGTAGACTGTCCAGTCACGAGTGTCGACTGTCGAGAGTGCAGGCGCGACTCTCTCTCTATACACTCGTAAATAAATACAAAGACTCTTCAGTCTTCACTCTACTCATCAGCAGAAGGGAGAGGGAAAAATATTTTTTTTTGAACAACAGAGGCTCTCGTCCCGGGTACCTTATTGGGCGGCAAAAGTCCATACTTCTAATTTGATATTTTTCTAGATAAACTAGCCGTATATTTTAAGCCAATGTGTGGAAAGAAATTTTGTTCTCTATCAATAATTCTGGATTATTTTTAACTATTTCGTTTATTCTATTTTATTGAGAATATAACTAAAATATAACTCGTAGTTATTCCCCGTAAAGGCCCGAGGCAGTCGGGAATAAACCCTCTGGCAGTCTGGCCTCTGAAGACTGGAATCCTCGTCTGGTTTGTGGCAGATTTTTTTAATAAAAACAAAATAGAATAGTTCACAATGCCTTATTTTAAAAATAGGGCTATGTTATTAGTTCTAGACTTATCTTGAGTTTGATCCTGAATGTGTAGATTTTAATAACACCGAAGCCCGAAGGGCCTCCCAGCCGTCCTACTAGAGGGCCCAGGGCCCCAGGCCCTAGGCCCTGGACAACCAAAAATTAAGGTCGAAATTCGAACCTGGAGGCTGGAGGCTGGAGGCTGGAGGCTGGAGGCTGGAGGCTGGAGGCTGGAGGCTGGAGGCTGGAGGCTGGAGGCTGGAGGCTGGAGGCTGGAGGCTTTTTGGTGAATAGTATGTTCGCATAGAGGTGAACGTGTGGCTGGTTCCACGAAGCATCATGAAGTGGTGCGCCCGCCTCGAGGCTGCAAAAATTAACAACTTGTGCGTTAATAGTACAGGCAAAAAAATCGATATCAACGGTGCCGAATAGTTCGACAACGTGTTGTTGAAAGATATCGGGGTGGAGCATCTAGTTGTCAGTCGTCGCGCTCGTGGTGACGTAGACATCGATGTTGTTTTGCGCTAGGGTAGATGTTGCTTTGCGTGGGTGGATATGACAAAGTCGTTGGTGCCAGTGTGTCAATATGGTGTGAGTGAGTTCAAAGAGTTCATATTGGCCGTGAGTATCAGTTAGATGACTTTGTTACCTGTGGGATCCGTAACCTGACACTCAGTAGGAGAGGAATCATCAGCTGGAGCAGGGAAGGTGATACGTTGCAGTAAACGGACGGATAAGATACTTTGTTGGGCCTGAGGCATGATTAGGACGGGACCCAGATCTAGTAGGATGCCGTGTTGAGTGAGAACAACCTGAACCTATCTGGGAACTCGAGAGTGAAAAAACTGACCGCGCTCTAAGTTGGTGATGTCATCGGTATGATTAAGGATATGTATCATGGCACCTGAGTCGATAAGTGAAGTGGCTACATATGAAAGTAGAAATACGGCCTCCGGTCAGTCTAAAATATCAAGATCAATTGAGATAA